GGGGGGGGGCCGGCCCCGGGGCGCAGCTCCCATCCAGCGTTTGCTGATCTCGGTGCCCGAGGCGATTCGCCGGTGCCAGGACAACCGTGCTGGGCCATACTGGCAGCAGCAAGAGCATCCAGCTCGTTCCCCATCAGTGCTGGTTCAGCTGGGTGGGATCCATCTAGGCATCTCGTGGAAGGCAGGAGACGATCCCTCCGGGCCGACCCCGCGTGCCTGGGCGTTCCCCTCTGTTTTCCATCGTTCTTTTGAGCTTTTCCAGCGCCGTTTGTGCCCAGGGCAGGCAGAGGTGCCCCGTGCCCTCAGCCTGCCCCGCTTTGGCTCTGCAGTGCGGGACAAGAAATGGACCGAGCTGGACAAGAACCAGCACCGCACCCACGCCATGCGCCTTCTCGACGGGCTGGAGGTCACCGCGCGGGAGAAGAGGCTGAGGGTTGCCCGAGCCATCCTTTACGTTGCCCAAGGTGACACCAGGCCTCTGCCCCCTTAGTTTCCCCTTTGCTAAAGCTGGGTAATGGATTGGAGCCTGTCAATTTAAAGTATTTTAAATATTTTGTTAGGGTTTTTTTTTTTTTTCCCCTTGCATCTTTGATTTCACCTGGGATGTCTGGAACGAAGCTAATTCTCATGGGAGCCAGTTTATAGGAGTTCAGTTCAAAGTTGGGCTGACTTCCTCACGCTGTCCTGGGCTGTGTTACCCACAGGAGGGCAATTCCATCCTCTACATCCGACTTTTTGCCTTAAAATTAAGGCTGAGTTTTTCATTCCCCCTGCAAAATACTCTGGGGGCGTGGGAGGGCCTTGAGATCCCTGCAGGGATGGGATCCAGCGAGGGTATCGTTGCAGGCACGTTTGGGGAGTGCGGCTCCGAGGCCGAGGTGCAGGCTTGGATGAGGTATAACATCTTCCTCTTGCTGGAAGTGGGGACCTTCAACGCTTTGGTGGAGCTGCTGAACATGGAGATTGAGTGAGTACTGGGGGAAGACACTTCAGAAATGGCTCTGGAGCTCCTTGGCAGGAGTTTTTCCAGTTTATGGCAATCCCATTCCGGCTCTGTCCATCCCTAATCTGATTCCTGCCGCCACCAGAATGACTCCTGTTGTCCCGGGGTGGATAAGTAATGTAGGATTATACCTGATTTACACAGAAATTCGCTGTGAGCTGCCTGGGAGCACATGGAGTTGGGTCTGTTCCTCCTCCCTCGATTGTGCTGTGAACAGGGGGCTCGTTGCAGCAATATCCATGCCAGGGTTTGGCTCTGGCGTCTGGCTTGCTCCTGGCAGAGGCAAAATGTCTCCAAAGGCCCCGCTGAGGCTCTTCTCCCTCCGCAGTAACAGCGCGGCCTGCAGCAGTGCTGTGAGGAAGCCGGCCATCTCCCTGGCCGACAGCACGGACCTGAGGTACGGAGCAGGGCTGGGGAGGAGGGGAGGCTCTGGGGGGTGAGGGAGGGGGCACCCCATGGTTGCTGGTTTCTTTGGTGGGTGTCCCAGGGCTGTCCCAGCTTCTGCCTTGGCTCCCTGAGCATCCTCGGGTCAGCTCGGCCAGTGAATGTCCCTCGTGCTCAGCCTGCAGAGCAGGCGTGGGGCTGGTCGGGGGCACGAAACCAGTAAAGTGCAGGAAACCCGGTTTTTTTCTGCTGCTTTGACTTGCAGAGACCTTTTTTCCCCAGTGCCTGAGTGCCGATTCCCGGGTGTGGAGTGGGTGCCTGGAAACTGGCCGTGGTCTGGGCTGATCCAGCCTCTCCCCCCAGCCCCAGAGCCCTGGGTGCTGCTGGTGCCTCGTCCCAACCTCTGGTGGTTCACCTGGCCTTCTGCTTTTTTGCAGGGTGCTGCTGAACATCATGTACCTGATCGTGGAGACCGTTCGGCAGGAGGCCGAGGGGGACAAGCCCGAGTGGAAGAGCACGAGACAGACCTTCCGAGCGGAGCTGGGTGAGGACCAGGCGCTTGGGCGTGGATGGGATGGAGTTTTCCAGGGCTGAAGAGCGAGAGAGTGAGATGGGGTTTGGCTCTAGGCCTCAGTTAACAGGGACTGGCGGCACTGGGTTGGTTTCTGCTGGGCTGAACCTTGCTGGTGGGGCAAAGGGGGTTGGGCAGAGGAAGGCAGCCAGCCTTTTCTGGCGTCCAGGTGCTCTCTCCCTGGGGAAAAAGTTTGAATATTGGGGCTGTCCTTTCCCCTCAACACAGAGGTAGGAAATTATGGAGCTTACAAGGCCTTGGAAAGGAAGAGAGGAGGTGTCTGGGCTGAGATGGGGGGTATGGGACTGCAGAGGCCATGGGAGGGTGTAGGGGCTGGAAGTGGTGGCGGTTGGGGTGAGGACAGGGATGAGGAATGCCTGGCTATCGCTGCCCTGTGGTTCCAGGAGCCCCCCTGTACAACAACGAGCCCTTCTCCGTCATGCTCTTCGGGATGGTGACCAAATTCTGCAGCGGCCACGCTCCCCACTTCCCCATGAAGAAGGTGCTGCTCTTGCTCTGGAAGACGGTGCTGGTAAGGAGAGGCCGCGGGGTGCACCGACACGGGGCTCCTGGTTTGACATTCGGCAGAGGAGGGAAGTTCTGCCCTCGGAGGTGGCTGTAGCTGCTGCATCCTCTTTTTCTGGCTTTCAGACGAGTAGTTTGCACCCTGTTAAACCCACCCCCAGGTTTCACCCTGTAGGGGTGTCTGGAGCTGGATACTAACCCCACCCCCAGGTTTCACCCCCGTAGGGAACACTGGATGTTGGTGTCTGGAGCTGGATACCAAGGACGGACCCAAAGTGAGGTCCCTGGCTGGGGGGAAAGCAAAGGTCCAAACGCTTCAGTGGTGGATGCCTGAACGTCCTCCTGGCCCTTCTGCTTTGCACAACGACAGGAGCAGCTTGGGGACAGGCAGCTCTTTACACCCTGGGGAAGGATTTGGGGAGGGCAGGTGGAGAAGCCCCCCCCCCGGTGCCGTGTGTCGAGGAGCCCCCTGTGCTCAGGGTGCCGCGCTCTCCCTTGCAGTGCACCCTGGGGGGCTTTGAGGAGCTCCAGAGCATGAAGGCGGAGAAGCGGGAGATCCTGGGTCTCCCCCCGCTGCCGGAGGACAGCATCAAAGTGATCCGCAACATGCGAGCCGCCTCCCCGCCCGCCTCCGCCTCCGACCTCATCGAGCAGCAGCAGAAGCGAGGCCGGCGGGAGCACAAGGTGGGGACGGTGACCTTAGCGAGGGGACGGTGA